AAACCAACGGGAAACTAATGAAAGGACTTCAGTCTAATACATCTGATTTAGGGAGGCTTCATCTGCTAAGATTAAAGAATGAAAAAATGTAACTGCAAAAAAGATCAGTCTAAGTGTACTGGGTGATTTTTATTTACATTTTTTTAATTAATCATTATTATTGATATTTAAATTATTAAACATTAAAAAACACGCCTCTCAATCAGTTAATCTATTACATTAACTGTTGAAACTTTCTGCAGTAGTCATTGTTATAAACTATTTTAAATTATGTTTAAATAAAATTCTTATAAATGACATACACTGCTGCAATTAAATTCAATTATAGTAAACAACAACGCAATAAAATCAACAGTATTACCAACTGAAAAAAACAATGTTTGCCTGTGGTATTTTACTAAAGATCATAAAATCTCCATAAGATTCACAAGGTGTCAAAACAAACAAAAGTAGTATATGATCTCAGCTCCCTTGATTTGACTACAAAATCGCAAGTCTCACGTTTCTACGAACATCCAACTCAGGAAACACTTGCTACTTCTCTATTTATTTGGGATTGTAAATACTAAAAGAAGCGCAACTTGTAACTGCTGATCCATAATAGAACAAGCAGTCAAAATCATTAACCAACATGGAAAGTAGAAATATGTTTCTTGTCATGTAGAGCCTCATCTGTTATGCAAGAATATTTTTTTAAATAGTGATAATTATAAAAGCTAGGGAAACTGAATTCACCTACAGCCTTCCGAGCTAATTCTTAGTACCATTTAAGGCTAAATTGTGAAAAGCCACAAAACAGTGAGCCCTTTGATTACCATGAATTAATGTACTATGCATGGTCAACAGCACAGCTTTTCACTAACGCAATACAGTCATTAGATGGAATAGGTCCTGGTTCTCCAGGAAAATAAAGTTTCTGGGGAGTAAAGGTTTCCTTCCAGAGACACTTCTCAAAGGGAGGGGCATGTTCTGTAAATTATTTTCTTTGTAACAAAAAGTTAAGCAAAAACAATGACAATAGCCTTAAACCTCAAGCTATTAAAAGTGTTGGGGGTTTTTCACTACGGAAACATGATTTTAGAATCTCTTGGCCATAAACCTATATTTGTCTGAACCTTTTATTCGTTTTATTCTTGAAAACTTTAACTTGCATACTAGACTAGTGGTTCTCACTCGTCAGTCATACCTCATTATTGTAGGAGTCCTCTATACACTAATAGTTTAAATTAATAATAAGAACTAATGGCGACTCCTTGCAAAAAGAAAACCTCTAACTACAGAATGTTACCAGAAGACCATAACATAAAAAGAAGTACAGTATTTATACCTGTGCAGCAGTTGATGCGAACATTATGTTTTAGAAGGATACATTTAAAATCAATATTAAATTACATTAATATAAAAAGTCACAAAATACATAATGGTAAATCTGTAGCACATTCATTCAGTAACAATTTAAGAATGTGTGGTCTTCAAGAACTATTTGACTTAAACCCTCCGTCAGTGCCGGATTTCCCATTAGGCACTGTAGGCACAGTGCCTAGGGCCTACAAAGGAGGAAAACACTAGTGACTAACGAAAAACGAGCTGAAACAACATGCTTGAAATCGACTCTAGGTGCTCCAAATCAATACTCATATGCTATCTAGCAGCTGTTCTAGACACTAGAAGTATCGAAGTGATGGTCACTCGACTTGCTCCATCAATCACGTGGTTTAGCATTGGAATAGTTTAAAGTGCATCATGTCAATTGACGTCATTCAATTGGCGTTTACCTCTCTTTTTGCACACTGGGGAGAGAAAGTGCCTACGGGCTACGAACACCAAAATCCGACCCTGCCCTCTGCGTTTTTCACTGAACACTATATGATCGCTAAAGACTTTAGATTAGCAGGACCCCTTTTGACAAAACAAACCTGGAACTTTTTTTTGGTCTGCCAAAAATACAGTATGAATGAATGATGGAAGACAATACAGCAAGAATTATTCCAGTTAACTTAAATGGCAGCCAGGTTACAACATAGAGGAGAATTCAAGAGTTGGAAAAAAAAAACACTGTGATCTAGTTCTTCTCAGAAAACAGGATTAAAATCCACTTCATTCACAAATGTATCTATACAAAGCATGAACATGTAAACTGAACCCATTGCCACATCCGGGACCCTCTAATTCTGCTTGATGCTGTTTTGAAATGGTACTGTCGCATTTCAGCAAATGAAGTTTACCCGTTGCAAATAAAGTGGGATTAATCGTCAGTGTTTTCATTTTTGTATTTTATACAGGGCCTTTTTATGGCGAATACCATGCGCTTAAGGCACATTTCACAATAGTACTTGAGAAAGACACTAAAGAGGAACAGCACAAGAGATTAGTAGAAGAATGCCACAAAAAGGCAGTTTATAAAAACTGCTGGATTTCAAAATGGGGTATGGAGATGGCCAGTGGGACACTGACAGAAATCACTCAACAGTCAGGGATCAGGGATGTGCCAGAGAAAACAGATCTGTTCTGGATTGAACAGATCTGCTAACCACAACCTCATCCATCCATTATGCATAGAGTCTTGATCCCAGTGTGTCACAGAGATGGACCCTTACCCAGCAAACACAGGCTCAACAAAGTCAATCACAAGGCACTCAAATACACACAGGGAAAATCTGAACCCACCGATTAATCTAGCCAGCAGGTTTTTGCCATGGAACACAGCATGTGTTATATTGACAGCTGGATGTTTTAAATTTCTTTTAGATAAATTAAAAAAAAAGAGAATCCATACATGCCAATGGGGAAAAGCACAACACAAACAAACAATTCGATGGTGGCCCAAAACGTAATCACACCCAGGACTGAAGAGTGGTGAGGCAGAGCCGCCAGACACAAGCCAGTTTTTTTTACCGAAGTGTCAGTTATTTACTGCAACAGGCACGAAGATATTTGTTTTGCAAGATTTGTTTTCCCAGATCAGTCAAGGATTTTACAGTTATCCAAACACGGACCTTAGGTGTAAGTATATCAGTGTCCACCACAGTAGACTTCAGCAAACCAGGGCAGCACAATAAAACATGTTGGTCTTTCAGCCATAATCTGTTGTTCAATTCTGGGCTACTGAACAGTTACAAATGGCAGGTAGTGATAAGAGCTGTAACTTTTGCTCTGGCCATTGAGATCCTCCACAGAAGTTTTACTGGTGAATCTATTCCAATGGTCATCTACCCAAAGAAGACATTGTTTTTACACTTTCACATTTGAGCAGCACATTGTCTTCAGGTATAAATAGCTCCCCAGCCCAAACAGATAATCCTTGCCTCAATGCAAGGATGTAAAAAACAGACGTGAAAGTGATGTCCTGCCTATGACTGAGCTCAGCTCTGGATATTAACTCAAATGGGCACATACAGTATAGGCTATTCTCAGCCAAACCTTGCAAACGAACCAAAATAAACTTTCTGTGGCTTCCTAATGTAAGTCACCTTTTTTTTTCTAACGAATATTTCCTTAACGGTTTTCCCTGAACAATAAGTTTTATATCCTTTCACAAAGTTTTTTTAAAAAAAAAATAAATACTGCACATGCATCTTTCCTATTGCCCGGCATGTCTGAATGATCATCGTTAAGGGTTTATTTATCCAAAGAAATGCAAAAAGGCCAATATACAATGTCAATATACAATGGCACCCGATGTTAAAGGATGAGTTTGTTGTGCATCTCGACAGTGGGAATGTCTGTATTAGCTTGACCGTGGACTCGGCCTTCAACATTATTAGATAAATACGTAGTCCCTGGACTCAGCCTTCAACACTACCGAGCACCAGGCATCCTTTCAATGCTGCATACAGATGATGAACTTTACTTGATGTGAAACGTTTCACTCCTGCCGCTAAAAAAGCTACTTCTCCTTTCTAAGCATAAGCACAGCCATGTGCGTTTCCTAGCAATGAGCAAGGGTAATAAACAAATTGAAACAAAGTCACCGCAGAATGAAACTCCCGCTGGTTCATGCCAGCCGTTAACTATTCTAACAAACATGACATTATACATGTAGTGCTTTTAGCTTTAGCTGTGTATGCTATTCCAGGCGATTTTATTGAGACAAAATTACAAAAACAAAGCAAGCCACAAACACGCTAGGAAAACGTTAAAAAGCGCTTGATTAATCCATTACTTTTGCCTCTCAAGTTCCAATTTGTAACTATATTCAAAATACGACCTTACCACGAAACAAGAAAAAGAAAGCCTAGAAAACGATTTTATTCAATTGGCGTGGACTTGCACTGTCGGTTCACTGCTTAGCTGTTTTGTTGTAACAGCACGTTTCAGCAAAGCCTGACACGTATGCATGAATCACCTATCCAGAAAAGGCCACCTGCCTTACTGTAACTCACTGGCTGTACAAATCGGTAAGCAGACGAGGTATGAACAATAACGAGGGGACCTGGATGTAGGACACAAAGGCGCCTTCGGAGCCCTCGCAGAATCTAAGGTGCTGTAACCTAGAGCTCCGCAAGGAGCTACAGCTCCAGATTTGACCAACCTGAACCCAGGCCTGGCTCGCAGTACAGCACCGATAGTAACTGTGTCACTGCATATATTTACAACAGTTAAATCTCCCCCGTCTCCGAAATCGAGCAATCAAGCATTTATGCTATTAATCAGTTGGGATATAGCCTGTACTTTAACTCCTGTATCTAAAAATAGCTTATTTGTACGTAAAACATGCAGCAAACGGGTAGAAAGCCAAAGCCTAACAACTAGAATATGCCCGATTCACATAGACTGAAACAAGTCTTTCGCGCATCGTGTTACTCTTTGAGAGCAACAGGTAGCCGACACTTTAAACAGCAGGAATCATGTTACATCCCTCCCAGAGATAACAATACAATAAATAATTAATTATTAAAACCTGAACACGAACAACAACAACAACAACAACAACAACAACAACAAAAAAAAAAACTTTTTTGAACGGTGACGTGAGCCCTAAAACATAAGTAAAAGAATACCTGCAATACACAAGACAATCCAAGTGATTGATTTCTTTATCCGATCTATGTCTTCTGTAGTCTTCCCACAGGTCCTTGATAGCGGTAACAGATAAAATAAAAACCACTGGAGCCAGCGCCAGCTCTGGTTGGAAAGCATTGACAACAGGCACAAAATTCAGCAAAGCGATGAAAACAAAATATACGTTGGCAAATCTGTGGAACTGCTCGAAAAGGTTCTTCGGTAGAAAAGAAAGCAATGTATATTTCGTTGTTTTAATCTTGTTGTTTGCATAATGTCTGTTCGGATTCTCGTTTCCTTTGGCAGAACTGTATAAAAGGTTAGAATAGACCGTTCTAGTTTTGTTGTCTTTCTTGTTTTTCTTTTTCTTCTTTAGCTTGGATCCCTTCTCTCCCTCGGTTTCCCCACACTGTCGCGCCATGCCGTCCCACAAACTTTACGAAACTTTTCTTTTTCTGCCTCGCCGTTTGAAACAGTGGGAAACAAAGCCTAGGTTATCATGCTGTTTGGCTTCACTTGCGAAGAAAAAAGGAATTGTTTTCAAAAGGTAAAATTACTTTTTCAGCCATTCTTACTATTTTCGGTTTTTTTACCCATCTACATGATGAGACTTTGGAAAGTTTTGTGCTGCGTCCCGTTTTGTTCATTTGCAGCTGGAGATGCCTTGAAACCACACATCCTATCGTCACTTCTGACGAAATTTTACCGTAGACGCTCCTCCCCCACCGAAAACAAAAGTATTTTCGTGGCAGTTAGAGGTTTTCATCTTTGCTGTAACAGTATTAGTTTACAGTATTAGTGCATTATTTTCTTAAAACACAATTAAGTATACATACTTTACACGCCTTGCCAACTTGTAAGACTACGTACTTTTTATCCAAGCGTAGGTAAATAACACTGTGTGCAAAAAATACGTCAAAGATAGTTGTCTGCTGTTATTACTGCAGCTCAGAACTATAAATATGAATGTCTTCTCATATGCTGCGTCTTCTTGATTATTAATCAATATTTGAATTTTGAATTTTCAAATTACAAGTTAAGACTGTGGAATCCTGTGTCATTTTTGTCATAAATTCAAGTTACAACGTGTTGGCTAATTAGTAGCTAAAAACCATTGTTTAAAACTGCATTTCAGAGCTGGACAACGTGAAGTAATGGCTCCTAACATTAAGTTCTACTATTGACATTTTTCTAAGCCATTATGGTTGGAAAAAAATGTAAAATTATTTTAATACTTACAGAATTTGAAGTTTACACATGATTTACTATGGTAAAAGAGGACTGGGGTGTCTGGTTTCAGGGAGAGGGCTGCTAAGTTACTTTGGATAGGATCATGGTGAAAACTTGAGCTCTTCGATTTTCAAAGTTGGGGGAATATGATACAGTAGATGAATAATGATGAGGGTGGTATGGTGGCACAGTGGTTACCATGCTTGCCTTACAGTGGTGGGGTCTTGAGTTCAATTCTAGACCTACAGTAGGCTGCAAACAGTGTGGAGTTTGTATGTTTCTCCCTGTGTTGTGTATGCTCCAGTTTCCTTCCACAGTCCAAAGACATACTGGTAGGTTAATTGGCTTTTGTAAAATTGGCCCTGGTGTAAGTCTATGTGTGGTTATGTCTGTGTGTGCCCTGTGATGGACTGGTGTCCATTCCAGGGTGTATCTTGCCTTCTGCCCATTGTTTGCCAGGCTGGCGGTTAAAGAATTGATGGATGGACTAATGACAAATAGAAAGGATGGAAAACTTAAGCAAAGCAAGTGCTCTTAGAGGGACCAAAACTCTTGTGGTCAGCCTGTTCTTAAATTAAGAAAAACAGCAACCATTTCAGCTGACACCAATTCATTGCATTGCAAACTGATTTTTGTCTGTCACGGGAAAAGTGAGTTTTATCATTTAAATAACCCAAAACTGTAATGGGAGATTAACATATTAATTTATAAAATAAGCCATATAAGAATTTTTTCTTCAAAAAAACTAATTTAGTACCTGTAGACAGATGTTTTTACTAGAATTTATTGTAAAGAAAAAAGTGACAATAATGGCACTAGCTATAATATGCTGCATATAAACACCTATGCAATTTCCTGCAACTGATTCAGACAAGACAGGGGTTTCCACAATCTTCTCAGCAATAGCTAGAGTTAAAAAAAATAGAAATGGACAGCATAATTACTATTTTCAAATCTGAGGAGAGAAATGTGGATTTCTCACATATTTGTGTGGTTTTGGCATGCATATGAAAAATACTGACTGGGCTTATCATTTGTGATACAATATATTGTCTTTCTATAATAGATGCTGAGGAAGCAGATCATTTTTTATTTTACCTACAGTAGATTGACCTACTGTAATGGATTATTTGCTGGGCTTGCATGCCTTGTCTTGTCATGTATAGAGCTTGTGCAGAACGCAGCTGCTAGGACATTTACTCAGCTAAAAAGAGCACATTTAGCCTTTGTTTTGGGATTCATTTCTGAAAGTGCTTCTTCGCATTTTCTATCATTGGTCCCATGTTCCCCATATTACTGAAATTTGGAGTGACTACTCAAAACAACCTTGTGTATTTCTTTCAGGTTTTGAAAATCACAACAGCATACAAATTGCTAAAAATGAGAGAAGGCCAATTGGCCTGTCTGTCTTATTGTCAAATCACTCCAAAGCATCAACTTCTAAGGCTTAAAATATTTCTTTCTTTTGATATTTCATCATGAGAGCCCTGACAGTCAACTTGCCTTTTCTTTCAACTCTTTCCAAGGAATCAAAGTCTGTTCCAGGGCATGGTTCCCAAATCTGAATACCACAGTTGTCTAACTGGACACTGTACAACCTACCTGTAAGTCTAACTTCACAAGATGTTAGGCAAATCTCCTTTGCACTTTTGTTTTGCTTGATATTTTTTAATTACTACAAAGATTGAAGATTCAAAATGTTTTAAAAAGGCTTTATAGTCCAAATATAAAGCGCTTTCGATTTGTTTACTGAATTGGTCTAACGTGGACACCTTCAGTTATAGAATATATAATTGCATCATAAAATGAAACACAAGGTGAATTCAGAGATGACAACTTGCCCAGGTAAGAAAAGAATCCTGCACAGATTTTGACAACAACCAGTTGTCCCCATGTAGGAATTTCATGTTTGACTGAGTATGTTGATTTCCATACAGTAGTTTATTTCCAATCCAGAGAGTCAGCAAAATTGCACCTGTTATGCATATTCTTTCCAAAAAAATGTTTGAATTTATAAACCTGATGGTAAGCACGTACCCATGGAATAGGAAAATATTCTAACTCTTGAAGTACTAATAAAAAAATAAATCACCCTTGGGAAACCTTCAGCCTTAAGAATCAAAGCCCAGGCTTACAATATAATGAAACGTTAAACTGACTAATAGCTTTGCAGAGGCTCCAAAACAAATACAGTGTTTTGCCAAGGCTTTATCCTCCTGCATTAATAGAACCTATTCTTACAGTACATTTTGGCTGAATGCATCTGAGATCTTTCCATTATTGCTAATATTTAAAAGTTCCTTGAACCATCACAATAATAAAAATGTTAATTTTGGAGATGTTATAATTACAATGTTGCAGAATAATGATTTAGATTTTGTTCAGGTAAGCTTCAGACTTGTGTTCCTAATGATAGTCATGAATCTAAATTTTCACAGAAGCCATTCCCTTTCTTTCACTAGATAAGTCTGTCACCTGGAGAAAATGGAAGGGCAAGAGTCTGACTTTGGTAGTCTTTGCTTGAGAATGACCAAGGAAAACAAATCCCAGCAAGACCTATGACATACCGTACAACTGTGTTTTGATCTGCAGCCTTAACCGTTTTCTAAAGTGAACCCTTGAATTATTCTAAAATAATACACACTGATGTTCATTTTTCATATACAATACTAGAGTAACTGCATGATCCTGTGAATCTGCACTGAGTAGGTATCTTAAAACCTACTCTACCGATTTCTCCTTTCTCTACACAGTGGAATTACCATGCATGTGGTATGTAGTGAATGTTATGCATAAAAACTTCTGATACTCATGGGCTATTTGATAGGATGAACATAAAGTTTTCAGGTGGTCCACTAACTGATCTGTAAATTTTGACGTGTATTATGACATACAATATATGTGCACATCTGCATGTGTACTACAGTATATACTGTATACTGTATGCACATACTGAAATAAGTTTTACTTTCTTTTCCTTTTCTAGAAACCATGTGCACATGAAAACTGGAAATCCATGAACTTTGATTTCCATTATTCATATTTTAAGTTTTCTTTTTAACATCTACATCATTAAGATAAAAGTTAATCAAAAATAAGAGAGCATAATAAGATAAGACCACAGGATCTTTAGAACAAGTTCATCCAATATTTTATCTAGATTCAAGAAGATGTTTTACTTTTGTGATATTTCTCAAAACCATGCAATAGTAACACACAAACATGTTCTCCACTGTGCTATTTGCAATTTAAGCTCACAGCTCTCCAATTTCTATCCACAAAAGAATGTTCCCTATTATTATTAGTTATAATCCAACTTTGTGATAATTTAAACATCTTATTACCGCATTTTAAACAGATTTTAGCATGAAGCTTTTAATCTGCGGTGCAAACAATGGGACTTTTATAAAGATGGATGCATGCCAAGCTTTTAGAGACCAATGATATTAGAGTGTTTCTTTGCAAAGTAATCTTTGCCTTCGATAGTGTAAAAAGTGCCAAAAACAGTTTTTAGATTGAAATGAAATACAGTGCAAAATATGAAATCAGTAAGGACTATAATTGTAGAATTGAAGAAGGACACCCCAAAAGCTTACCATATGTGCATGTTTCCTAAAATTCTTCATAACAAACAAAGGATGAAATGTATTTTACACATCTGATTTGTCAGTCAGGTTAGCATTTTCAAATGCTAACCCAAACAACCCTGACACAGGGAAATGAAGTACAGACCAAGGAGCACTTGTTGATCTGTCAACATATGTAGGCATTATGCACATCAGAAGACTTGAAAAGTTCTTCGGACCAGGCAATATCATATTGCTTTAAAAGAGCATGAGGTGGCAATGTTGTGAAGGAAACGGCATGATAATGTAATATCACCAGA